GACGATAAAATAGTTTTTTCTTATTTTAAAAGGAAATTGTCTTGTTCCATTGGCAAAGTGTCTTACTTACCTCCTCAAATCAAGGAAAAGCACACTTATTTTAAGAAAAAAATAACTTATTGAGATTTATATTTTTTGCAGTGTAATCAGTTTTAACACACACCAATCATTTTGTTATGAAGAGAAAACGGCTTAGTTATCTTCAGATAATGAGAAAATGAACTGGTTTGTTGAGAAAACCACTTTTACACGACCGCTCGTAGAACAGCTTCCGGTCCTTTGAATGATTAGTCCTTCAAACAGACAAAGGACACAAACTGAGAGCCACAGTACAGCATTATAGCCTGTAAATCAGCGAGGGGACATAGAAGCAGGAAAGAAGTAAACAGCTTTAAAATGCTCAGTAATCAGCAGAGTTCTAATGCCCATCTGTTGTTCTAACAGAAAAAATAAGGTCATTCGCTGCCAGAGAGAGAAATTTCACTGTAAAGATGTTCACCTTCCAGTTCTTCACCTACTTCTCCTCCCTCTTCTATGTGGCATTTTTTCTTGGCAGGTAAAAACTTTAGAATCAGGACTTAGGAAACCAGTTGGTCTTTCCTGTTTGGCTTAAGTTTGTGTTTGTTTCTTACACTGATGACAGGATAAACGGCCATCCAGGTAAATACGTACGGATTGCAGAGCTGTGGAGACTAGAAGAGGTAAGCAATTCCAGATGCTCATCTTATCATTTCATAGCTATTGATTATGGCTGTATGGTTCCTATAAGTTAGACTGTGTTTGTTTTAGTGTCACCCGAGTGGATGCCTCACAGACTTGTTCATTCAAATGACTATTATAATGGTGTTGAAGCAAACCATCAGCAATATGATCGAGATCACTGTCCCGTAAGTAATCTTTACCTTTATTTTTACCTAAATTCATTCAGTTTTTTTTTTATATTGCATCACAGGGGTCGGCAACCCGAGATGTTCAAAGAGCAAATGTAGGGGCTAAGCTTAAAGCCACTGTGTCATGTTTGGTTTAAGGTTCCTAACCCACATGCAGAACACACGGAGACAGGAGAAAAGTTCAACGGTTCATTGAATAAACACAGTGAGATAATGAACTGAATCAAGGGATAATCAGATCCAGGACTGGTTCACTGTTCTGGAGTTAGAGCAGAGCGGCAGAGGGGGGGAACCAGGAGGGTCCAGAGGCTGTCGGCAGGCTGAGGGCTTGGTGGAGGCAGAGCTTTGTTTGAGTGTTGGCAGATCACAGGTTTGAGTTTCCCTTTCAGATTCTTCAGAGAGCGGGCAGGCAGGTCTTTGACAGGTTTGATTTTCCAGGGTTCTTCAGAGATCAGACTGACAGATTTCCAGCAGAGAAACTCTTCAGGGTTTCTGGTTTCAGGCAGGTTCAACCTGGGGAGCAGAGAGGACTAAACAGATCAGGTTCAGGTTCAGGTTTTCTGGGAGTCAGACATTCAGACAGGCAGGTCGGCTCAGGCTTGCTAACCATAACTGGCCAACACTCT